AAAAGAGTGAGACTCTGTCTCAAAAGAAAAAAAAAAAAAAAAAACGGGGTGGAGGAATAATCTGCTTCTAAGGAATGCACTTATTAGTGGCATTGTAGTATTGGTTTCCTGATAATACCAAAAATATTCTCTTGATAACTGTCTCTGTTCGCTATACATGCTAAAAGAGAAGAAAAACATCACATGATCATCAATAGGAGTCAGTTATATAAGTGGTGACAAACCTATCAATGGACTAATATGCAGCTAATATAAAAGATGAGACAGTTCCATGTGTGACTCACCCTATGTGAATTATGGCATATTTATATATTACATTTTAAAAACTTTCAATGTCAAAAAAAGCAAAGAAAGAAGAAAAAAATTTTAGAAGTAAACACTAACTCAAATGTAAATATTACAGTGCTAACCGAACACGTCTCTATTATGTCAGCTCAACTTGGGGTCTTTACAAATTAGCCTATATATGCTTGGCACATACCAAAAAGGTCAGTAATAAAATAGAGCTCCTTCACCCCGAAAACTGTTTTTGCCTTTCTTTGCATGACCTGTACTTTCTTATTGCAACATAGAGTAATACTGTGATAATTCAAATAAAGAGGAGAAATCATTACCACTTAAAACTGCTTCACATACTTTCTGGTCAGATTAAAGAGAGTGTCACAAAGAGAGTGTCAGAGCCATGAAACACTAAAAAAATAAATAAATAAAATTGATTCATTATAATGGAAGGCTGAATCTGAAGACTGTGGACATCTACACAACTGCTTCTAACTTCAAATGGGTTTTGCTATTCCACACCCACAGTTTAAATTCTTTTCACCTCAATTTCAAAGCGCATGTTCATTGACTTAGAAATTCTGAAATTCTTTTCTACTCTGTCAGCCTCTAACCATGTGCTTTTCATCTTATCATGATCACTGCTTTGACATAAACTCCATGTCATAACCTACTGTTTTCCCTAGAGTTATTAAATTTCCTTTGCACAGTTAATATTTTAGAAAGGACTACAGAAATTTCTAGATCAATGTAGTATCAAATAGGTAATAAAAGGTATTATCAAAATATCCCAATGAAAAACAGGTGACAAATAGTAGTTCCAATTTAGAAAAGTTAAATTATTTCCAACTTTAATAATCACATTTCAATTACAACTTTCACAGTGCTTTTGCTCCTATATTAAGTAATCTTACATTTTCTCTATATAATTATATTAGGAGCTTTAAAATAAATTTAAGCCAGAGCAGGAAGAAGTTCAACTTTATAATTTTATCAATGTCCAGATTAAAACAACATAAGGATATTTAAAATGTTTTAAGAAATATCTGTAGTTTAAATAAGAAAACTTTTCAACTTTAACTACAGATTCTAAAAGGAATATATAACAAGGTATTCAGTAGCCTAGCTTTTGGTAAAAATTAAATTGGGTGCCCTCACCTCATTTTTCCTTTTGAAGTGATATCCACTCGGACAGGATCAAACCTGTAAGCTGGAGATATAACTTCTACTACATAAGATCCAGAAGGTATATCATGAACTACAAAACTCCCATCTGTCCTGGAAAAATGAAAATCATATTTAGTTACTTGTGATCAAAAGCTTACTTAGTCTGTTCTTATGTTTTAAATCATCTGTTAACTCCCAAATCAGCTTCCCCAAAATGACATTAAAAGCAATCAGTAAAAAACAAACAAAAAACCTGGCAAGAATTGTCCTATACTTCAGCTTCCATAATTACACCAAAAAGATTCTGAAAATACCCAAGACCACTCCAGGGTGGCAGAGAACCTTGACATAGAAATTACTTCTACTTCTGAGTAGAAGATGACAAGTGACAGGAACATAGTTCCTATTCTGACGGCATATCTTGTTCATTTAAGGGAAACTATCAATATACATTATTATCACAATATTAGGGTTCCAATTTTGCCAATCCCACTAATAATTTCTTACTATTAAAAATGGCATTTTGTTCTAGTTTTAATTTGAATTTTGTTGGCTTTCTTTCTTTCTCACAAATAATAAAAGGTATTTAAATACCATATGTTATAAATAATTCCCATTTACTTTGATTACTTCTTTTTGGATATGTAGTATCTTTAAATGTTGATGTAGTTAAAACCATCCATCTTTCCCTTACTG